TCAGTATTGTCTGGAAAATAATAAATAAAAAGCTAAGTTTGTTCTAAAATTAATTACCTAGTTTAATAGAGGCATTATTTAAAGGTCCATGCAATTGCTTGCCTTGACATTTCATGGGGAAGCTTTGAATAGTGCATAGATCAAAAGAATTCTCCAAAGTTTGAACAGGTCACTTTTTTCCTTCCAATATTTTCTTCTAATAGGTAGGTAGACACATTGCCATTTACTCCATTGATGGCGCAGGAAGTACTGTCAATGCTTGTAAAGTCCTTGATGAAGAATCAGAAGCTTTGGTTCTAATCCAAGTCATATAATAATCTACTGATATTGAGTAAATTCTACCCTCAAACTCAGTTTGCTTATCTGTATAACAGAATATAATTCCCTTCAGTATCACAGGGTTATTAGAAGGATCCTTTTAGATAATTCATGGAACGTGTAAATTTGTGGAGTCTCAATTATTATATTATAAATTTGTGGAAGTATCAGTAAACTTTCAGGTACCAAGATGTGCTCATTTATTTTAAAAAATGGTGACCTAATTATCTTGTGTTTTTTACAAATAGTGTGTGGGAATCGGGTACGTTTTAATGTTGGAATTGAAATAAAATTTCAACAGGATTGGAAATCTTACTTTAAGAATTTTGAACTTGTAAACTAGTAAACTAATATTTAAAAAGCATTTCCTTCATAAATATGATTGACCACTTAAAAATCAGTAAAATAATTAAAGCTGTAAAAGCAATTGAACAGCAAAGTGGGTTTTTTAGCCTAGCCTTGACATAATCACTGATTTTGTATTTAGAGATGCTCTTAGTGATCTTGCATTACATTTTTTGAACAAAATGAAGATTATGGTGATTAAGGATATTGAAAGAGAAGACATTGAATTCATTTGTAAGGTAAAATATTAACATCTGTATTTGGGAAAATGTTCTGATAATCAAATAAATGTTGCCTTAATTTGCGGATTTGACTTTCCAGACAATTGGAACCAAACCAGTTGCCATATTGACCAATTCACTGCTGACATGCTGGGTTCTGCTGAGTTAGCTGAGGAAGTCAATTTAAATGGTTCTGGCAAGCTGCTCAAGGTATTATAATTATAAGCTTCTATTGCTTTTATTATTTATTTTTTCTTTTAACCCTCATTTCAAATACTTAATTTGGAATTTGTTTATTAAAGATTACAGGCTGTGCCAGCCCTGGAAAAACAGTTACAATTGTTGTTCGTGGCTCTAACAAACTGGTGATAGAAGAGGCTGAGCGCTCCATTCATGATGCCCTATGTGTTATTCGCTGTTTAGTGAAGAAGAGGTAATGTAAATGCTACATTATTTAAGTAACATTTTGAACATTAAAAGTTCTATATTTTAACGTTTTTTAAGGTATAAGTAAATTATTAAAATTTCTGTTGGATACAATAAGCTAAAAATGTGTTTGTGAATTTCAGAGCTCTTATTGCAGGAGGTGGTGCTCCAGAAATAGAGTTAGCCCTACGATTAACTGAATATTCACGAACATTGAGTGGTATGGAATCCTACTGCATTCGTGCTTTTGCAGATGCTATGGAGGTCATTCCATCTACACTAGCTGAAAATGCTGGCCTGAATCCCATTTCTACAGTAACAGAACTACGAAACCGGCATGCCAAGGAGAAAAACTACAGGCATTAATGTCCGAAAGGTAATAATTTAATCTTTAGTTATTGCAGAGAATTTGGTTAAAGTTAAAAGCATTATAATTATATTTTGAGTGACAAACTTTATAATTAAAAGTATTTAATCCTATATTTAAATATGAGACCTGCAAGTTTATGTATGCCATCGAGTTAACAAGGAAGATGATGCCTATTGGGAAGTATTTGTTCATTAAATCTGGCACTTGTTGAGCGTGGCTTTTAGCAAGTTACTTAGTATGTTCTTTAGTTTCCTTAGTTGTAAAAACAAGGATGATTGCTGGGCAAGGTAGCTCACGCCTGTAATCCTAGCACTCTGGGAGGCTGAGGTGGGCAGATTGCTTGAGGCCAGGAGTTTGAAACCAGCCTGAGCAAGAGCGAGACCCCTTCTTCACTATAAATAGAAAGAAATTAATTGGCCAACTAATATATAGAGAAAAAATTAGCTGGGCATGGTGGTGCATGCCTATAGTCCCAGCTACTCAGGAGGCTGAGGCAGGATTGCTTGAGCCCAGGAGTTTGAGGTTGCTGTAAGCTAGGCTGATGCCACGGCACTCACTCTAGCCTGGGCAACAAAGTGAGACTCTGTCTCAAAAAAAAAAAAACAAGGATAATTAATAGTTCCCTTGTATGTAGGCCTGTTGGCGAGGATTAAATGCATTATTAATTAGAAAGCTCTTAGATCAATGCTTGGCATATAGTAAACACTTTGTAAATATTAACCATTGCTCTTGTGAGCACCAGCTAGTGTAGTTATGTAAGGTAAACATGCAGAAAGTAATAATGTTCCCTTTTTAATTAATGTTTTTTATAAAGACAAATAATACATGATGGGAAACAGACAGTCCAAGATAATTTTGAATGGTACAGAACTTCAAAGGAAGGCACCACCTGATTAGGGAAAGCTTTATAAAGATGTAACTTTGGTAGAGAATGAAGAAATTTGAGATGGGGAAGCGATGGTTTATAGGCAAGAAGGAACAAGGACCAAGAGATTACTAACATGTGTAGAACAGGGGTTGTATGTTGGTGATATTGTGAACTTTTAAAGTTGGAAAGATCAGATAAAAGCTATAATGAAGGCCGGGCGCGGTGGCTCACACCTGTAGTCCTAGCTCCTAGGAGGCCGAGGCGGGCGGATTGCTCGAGTTCAGGAGTTCGAAACCAGCCTGAGCAAGAGCGAGACCCCGCCTCTACTATAAATAGAAATTAATTGGCCAACTAATATATATATACAAAAAATTAGCTGGGCATGGTGGTGCATGCCTGTAGTCCCAGCTACTTGGGAGGCTGAGGCAGGAGGATCGCTTGAGCCCAGGAGTTTGAGGTTGCTGTGAGCTAGGCTGATGCCACGGCACTCACTCCAGCCTGGGCAACAAATCGAGACTCTGTCTCAAAAAAAAAAAAAAAAAGCTATAATGAAGAGGCTCCTTGATTACTGAGGCAGACATTTTTTTTCCCTTCCAGTAGTAGCTAAGATGATGAATATTTTAAGGAAGGATGACTGGAGATAGGGGTGCCTGTTGGGGCCATCAGCAGTAATCCTGAAATAAAGGGGACTAGGATAGTGCAATGAAGAATTTAAGGCAGGAAATAAGAGATGTAAAGGAAGATTGGATCATACTTGGTCTGATTCAGAATTAAAATTCAGAGATGATTTAAGCATTAAAGATCTCATGACTTTTAAATACTGTATTACAATCAGTAATTTTGCCAGTATATTTTAAATTAATAACATAGAAGTTGTTTTGGATTTAGGATTGGGGGAATCCAGCATTAATTCAGGTTTTCTAAATTTTAATAGAAATGGAACCTACAATGTAGAACAGAGCTTAGTAGAGTATCTTACTCTTATGTGCCTAAGCAAGGGAAAACTAGGTTGGAAATGGTCTAGAGGCACACTTGTGACAATGTTGTTGTTGTTGTTGTTTATAATTACAAACACTGAAAGCAACTTGTGCTGATTTGCAGGGCGGCATTTCTAACATTTTGGAGGAACTGGTTGTCCAGCCTCTGTTGGTTTCAGTGAGTGCTTTGACCCTAGCAACTGAAACTGTTCGGAGCATTCTGAAAATTGATGATGTGGTGAGTATATATAGATTGCATATTTCCCTATAAGATCAAAAGGGCATATATTTTTGAAGGTTTTTATTTTTGAGAAATGTTTGGGTATCAGGTTTATACTTACGGTTTTATGTCATCTGTAAAATGGGGGAAATTGACTTTAAAACATCTTCCCACCTTAAAATTCTGTCATCACAGGTTTTAAAACATAAGTTTTTCTCTTATCAGGTAAACACTCGATAATCTGGATAACTGGTTGACTGGCATCATAATGGCCACCAACAGAACTACGAAACCGGCATGCCAAGGAGAAAAAACTACAGGCATTAATGTCCGAAAGGTAATAATTTAATCTTTAGTTATTGCAGAGAATTTGGTTAAGTTAAAAGCATTATAATTATTTTTGAGTGACAAACTTTATAATTAAAAGTATTTAATCCTATATTTAATATGAGACCTGCAAGTTTATGTATGCCATCGAGTTAACAAGGAAGATGATGCCTATTGGGAAGTATTTGTTCATTAAATCTGGCACTTGTTGAGCGTGGCTTTTAGCAAGTTACTTAGTATGTTCTTTAGTTTCCTTAGTTGTAAAAACAAGGATGATTGCTGGGCAGGTAGCTCACGCCTGTAATCCTAGCACTCTGGGAGGCTGAGGTGGGCAGATTGCTTGAGGCCAGGAGTTTGAAACCAGCCTGAGCAAGAGCGAGACCCTTCTTCACTATAAATAGAAAGAAATTAATTGGCCAACTAATATATAGAGAAAAAATTAGCTGGGCATGGTGGTGCATGCCTATAGTCCCAGCTACTCAGGAGGCTGAGGCAGGATTGCTTGAGCCCAGGAGTTTGAGGTTGCTGTAGCTAGGCTGATGCCAGGCACTCACTCTAGCCTGGGCAACAAAGTGAGACTCTGTCTCAAAAAAAAAAACAGGCATGGTGGTGCATGCCTGTATTCCCAGCTACTTGGGAGGGTGAGGCAGGAGGATCCCTTGAGCCCAGGAGTTTGAGGTTGCTGTGAGCTAGGCTGACGCCATGGCACTCACTGTAACCTGCGCAACAAAGTGAAACTCTGTCTCAAAAAAAAAAAATAAATAAAAAGCCTTAGAATAAAAAGCACAAAACTAAAATTATTTGTGTAATATACATGTATTGCTTATATGGAAAAGATTGATCATTCAGGAAATAGGGTAATCATCTTTCATTTTTTTGATTATCAAAGGTATGCTTTCGAAAATTTAAGACAGCAGTGGATCTAGTTGAAAGTAAAAGACCCAAGTGTGTATTTTTCTGGACCTTTTTCTATGCATGTCTATATAATTTATTGCCTGGTAGGATTTTGGTTGAATTTATCCTGTATGTAATATTTTTACTTTAAAGTCTTTTAAACTTAAAATCTCATGCAATGCAAATTATTATGTTCTTTTTTTTAAACAGATGGATAATCAAATAGTGGTTTCTGACTACGCCCAGATGGATCGAGTGCTGCGAGAAGAAAGAGCCTATATTTTAAATTTAGTGAAGCAAATTAAAAAAACAGGATGTAATGTCCTTCTCATACAGAAGTCTATTCTAAGGTGCGGGCAGAGCTATGTATTATTTTGTTTAAAGTATACTATGACTTATTGTTGACTGTAGTCACTTTGTTGTGCTGTCAAGAGATCTCATTACATTTTGATAAAAACTGGGTTATTTTACCTGTAGGGTAATTTAAATGTGGGATATGTTGTGATCTTTGTAGACCAGAGTGCTAAATGTCAAGCCTTGTTTTTAGAAAGCTAAGTTTGTGTCAGTATTGTCCTGGGAAAATAATTAAATAAAAAGCTAAGTTTGTTCTAAAATTAATTACCTAGTTTAATAGAGGCATTATTTAAAGGTCCATGCAATTGCTTGCCTTGACATTTCATGGGGGAAAGCTTTGAATAGTGCATAGATCAAAAGAATTCTCCAAAGTTTGAACAGGTCACTTTTTTCCTTCAATATTTTCTTCTAATAGGTAGGTAGACACATTGCCATTTACTCCATTGATGGGCCAGGAAGTACTGTCAATGCTTGTAAAGTCCTTGATGAAGAATCAGAAGCTTTGGTTCTAATCCCAAGTCATATAATATCTACTGATATTGAGTAAATTCTACCCTCAAACTCAGTTTGCTTATCTGTATAACAGGAATAATAATGTCCCTTCAGTATCACAGGGTTATTAGAAGGATCCTTTTAGATAATTCATGGGAACGTGTAAATTTGTGGAGTCTCAATTAATTATACTTATAAATTTGTGAAGTATCAGTAAACTTTCAGGTACCAAGATGTGCTCATTTATTTTAAAAAATGGTGACCTAATTATCTTGTGTGTTTTACAAATAGTGTTGTTGGGAAACTGGGTACGTTTTAATGTTGGAATTGAAATAAAATTTCCAACAGGATTGGAAATCTTACTTTAAGAATTTTGAACTTGTAAACTTAGTAAACTAATATTTAAAAAGCATTTTCCTTCATAAATATGATTGACCACTTAAAAATCAGTAAAATAATTAAAGCTGTAAAAGCAATTGAACAGCAAAGTGGGTTTTTTTAGCCTAGCCTTGACATAATCACTGATTTTGTATTTTAGAGATGCTCTTAGTGATCTTGCATTACATTTTTTGAACAAAATGAAGATTATGGTGATTAAGGATATTGAAAGAGAAGACATTGAATTCATTTGTAAGGTAAAATATTAACATCTGTATTTGGGGAAAATGTCTGATAATCAAATAAATGTTGCCTTAATTTGCGGATTTGACTTTCCAGACAATTGGAACCAAACCAGTTGCCCATATTGACCAATTCACTGCTGACATGCTGGGTTCTGCTGAGTTAGCTGAGGAAGTCAATTTAAATGGTTCTGGCAAGCTGCTCAAGGTATTATAATTATAAGCTTCTATTGCTTTTATTATTTATTTTTTCTTTTAACCCTCATTTCAAATACTTAATTTGGAATTTGTTTATTAAAGATTACAGGCTGTGCCAGCCCTGGAAAAACAGTTACAATTGTTGTTCGTGGCTCTAACAAACTGGTGATAGAAGAGGCTGAGCGCTCCATTCATGATGCCCTATGTGTTATTCGCTGTTTAGTGAAGAAGAGGTAATGTAAATGCTACATTATTAAGTAACATTTTGAACATTAAAAGTTCTATATTTTAACTGTTTTTAAGGTATAAGTAAATTATTAAAATTTCTGTTGGATACAATAAGCTAAAAATGTGTTTGTGAATTTCAGAGCTCTTATTGCAGGAGGTGGTGCTCCAGAAATAGAGTTAGCCCTACGATTAACTGAATATTCACGAACATTGAGTGGTATGGAATCCTACTGCATTCGTGCTTTTGCAGATGCTATGGAGGTCATTCCATCTACACTAGCTGAAAATGCTGGCCTGAATCCCATTTCTACAGTAACAGAACTACGAAACCGGCATGCCCAAGGAGAAAAAACTACAGGCATTAATGTCCGAAAGGTAATAATTTAATCTTTAGTTATTGCAGAGAATTTGGTTAAAGTTAAAAGCATCATAATTATCTTTTGAGTGACAAACTTTATAATTAAAAGTAGTTTAATCCTATATTTAAATATGAGACCTGCAAGTTTATGTATGCCATCGAGTTAACAAGGAAGATGATGCCTATTGGGAAGTATTTGTTCATTAAATCTGGCACTTGTTGAGCGTGGCTTTTAGCAAGTTACTTAGTATGTTCTTTAGTTTCCTTAGTTGTAAAAACAAGGATGATTGCTGGGCAAGGTAGCTCACGCCTGTAATCCTAGCACTCTGGGAGGCTGAGGTGGGCAGATTGCTTGAGGCCAGGAGTTTGAAACCAGCCTGAGCAAGAGCGAGACCCCTTCTTCACTATAAATAGAAAGAAATTAATTGGCCAACTAATATATAGAGAAAAAATTAGCTGGGCATGGTGGCTTGTATTATCTAATACCGATTTTGTTTTTTGAGATGCAGTCTTGCTCTGTCACCCAGGCTAGAGTGCAGTGGCATGACATAGCTCCCTTCAGCCTCAACTCCTGGGCTCAAGCCATTCTCCTGCTCAGTCTCCCAAGAGCTGGGAATACAGCACACACCACCATGCCTGGCTATTTTTCATTTTTGGAGAGATGGTGTCTGCTCCTGTTCAGGTGTCTTGACCTCCCAGGGTGCTAGGATTCAGAATGAGCTACCTCGCCCAGCCCTGTATTCAGATTTTCTCTAACTGTCCCCAGATGTCTTCTATGTTTTAACCAAGATCCATTTGATGTTTACACATTGCTTTAGTTGTTGGTCTTACCGTCTCTGATCTACACTCACGAACTTCAACTTTTTTTTAAGAATCCAAGCGTATTGTTCTGTCTCTCATTGGATTTCTCTTATGTGACATGTTTCTTCTTTCCATAAAATCAAAATTAGCTCTAAAGAGGTTACATAAACTTTTGCAAGAATATTTTATAGGAATGTATGTGTTTATGTTAGGTAATTGTCTGCCTTAAGGTGCTCCAGAGAACAGCAATAGGATTAGAGAAATATCTCTGGGAATATTATTGGTTGCAGCTCACACCAGAAGTTCATAATATGCCATCTGCAAACTGGAGACTTAGGAAGTTGATATAGTTCAAAGCCTGAAGCCAGAGAGCCAATGGTGTAGATTTAGTCAGGTGTGAAGGCCAGAGAATTAGGAGTTCAGAGGGTATGTGTCTCCTACTTCAGCAGAGAATGAATCCAACTTTTCCCTGCTGTTCTCTTAAGGCTCTCAACAGATTAGAAATGCCGCCAACTGGGGGCAGGAGGCGCTATTCTCTTCGCTTTACTCAGTCACCATCAATGTTAGCTCTCAGAAACACCTCAGACACTCTCCCCTGCCAATGTTTTTGAAAACAAGGCCTGTTGCCTAGGCTGGAGTGCATGATCAAAGTTCATTGAGACCTTGAACTCTAGGCTCAAGTGATCATTGTGCTCAGCTCTGAGTAGCTGGGGCTACCGGTGCACACCACCTGCCCAGCTAATTATTTTTTGTAGAGACCAGGTCTTAACATGTCAGACTTATCTCAAACTCCTGGCTCAGCAATCTTCTACTTTGGCTCCAAAGTGCTGGCATTATAGGTGTGAGATACTGCATCTAGTTAAGTTGGACATTTAAACTATGAAACTAATGGGGAAAATTTAATGCGAGTAAGCTTAAAATGTCTGTAGGCCTTTTATGTTGAATAGCAGAAAAAATAAATTTTTTCGTTTAGAAAATTCTTAATACTTAATAAAGTTGCTCGCAACAGTGTAATGAAATTGCTGACTATATCTGGATGTTTCTTCTGATCTTAATCATAATATAACTAACAATCTTTGAGAACTACATGTTATTTAATTGACACCATAGTTGGACAAATCAGCACAAAACCAGGCAAGTATTCTGGGAGATAATCCTGTAAAGGGTTTAGGAAAGAGTGTATTCATTATTTATAAATCAGTGCTAACATCCTTTATATTGTAATCTTAGGAGCTTATCTGTCTCACACACATGTACCCCCAGAGAGCGGTGGTTGACATTTACCACTGGCTGACAGCCTCCAGCACGCCCTTTGAAATCCTCCAGTGTTCCTGTAGAGAACATGCTCTTCCAGGAACCAACTAGCCAAGTGACTGAGATGGGCAGGCCAGTAGTATCTGGACATTTGTCATTATAGGAACTCATCAGACAACTTGTGCTGGAGCTCTCTTGAGCTGCTTGAGCCTTTCAGAGCTGCACTGTAATTGAACCTCCTCACCAATTCTCCCTGCCGCCTTTCTAAGTGTCAACTATATCTTGCCTGAGGTCTTTCCTTTCTTCTTATCTTTTCACAGAATTTCCCCAATAATCTCTTTCGCACTTGTAATCCTTGGTGTAGCTTCCTGGAGGACCAACTGCGGCAAAAGAAAACACCCAAAATTTTTTCAAACGAGATATGTTAATAGTTAGAATTTACAGATTAAATTTATAGTATTCCTTGTCTGTAACATTACATCATGAATTAGTCCGAGAAATTGGGGAAATATCTTCAATTATTGGAACTAGTATGTTTCTGCAGAGATTCAGGAATTGAAGAGGACACTAATGTGCAACAACATGGATGAATCTCAAAATCATTAAACATCAGTTCTGCTGAGCAAAAGAAGCAGGAGAGCAAAGGCACAATTGTAGTTTTCATTATATGAAGTCTTGAGTAGTCTAGAGGGTAGAATGGAGAATAAGGATCTTTGTGAGATGGAAATGTTTTATATATAGGGGTATGTTTATGGAGCTTAACTTTTTGAATTCATTGATACATTTAAATATTTATTGTATATATGATCATTGCAATACAAAAAGTGCAAAACAATTATCTATGATGTAAGATGTACCTCCTTATGATATATTTCTACTGTATATATTTTTGAGGTGGATGGCTGCATGAATCATGAACTGAACTGAAAACTTCTGTTCTACATTAAACACACATGTCCTCACACGCTCTTATTATTTAATCTTCCTTGCAGTTGCTTCAGCATGTGGACCTTGTTTTCTTTTGGGGGTCATGATTTATACAAATCCAGGAGAGGCACGTGCGCCACAGATTGCATGTGGGCTGATCGTAATTTGCTACCCTGGTCACTTGGCCGACACACTCATAGGCTACAGCTGTGCGCGTTGATCGAACTCAGCGAGTGTTTCAGGCGTTGTGGAAGAAATGTCAGTCTAAACCAAAGGGCCTATGAGCAGGTGGGATGGGGATTTTGAGTGTTCACACTCCAGCAGGCGAAGGAAGGAAAGTTGGTACGATAGTCAATCTAAGCTATTCTAAGCTATGAGTCGAATTAGACGACCGCGCACATACGAGGATAAATTGTAACTTTATGGCAGTGATGGCGCGTGTGTAGGGCCGGCCGGCAGAGGCTTAAAAGGGCATCTAAGCCAGGCCAGTGAAAATATTAAATATTTGGTTTGAAAAGGCAGGTTAATTTATCTCCCCACCCAACATTCTTTTATTTCTGATACTTTTGAAAAACTTAGAAGCAGGGAAGAAATTAGTTTATTTTTACATGTTGACTTTCTTATAGATTAATCCTGGGGATTTTCTTAACTTTTTACTCTACATAGGCATTTATCCATTTGACTTCTGTTTGTTTTTTTTTAACAAGTATTTAGAAGATAAAGTGGCCCAATATAAATGTCCATCAGCATAAAAACTATCAAAGTGTAAGATACATGCTGTCTTAAAAGTTAGACACAAAGATACAAAGTGAAAAAATGAAAGCCTCCCTTATCTTACTATGCGAATCCCTCTCCCCTGTAATAACCCCTGCTGTGTTAATTAGATTCCTTCTACAAATAAATATGTAGCAAATCTTACTTGTACAAAAGGAATTAATTAATACATCTCATTTCAGTGGGTTTAAACATCTATTCTGCACATATTATAGCTAGTGATCTTTTTTACACATCTTAAATGCTCCCTTTATAAAAGCTTTCATGCCTTTAGATAAAGGCCAGGCCTTTAAGATGTATGTACCACAAGTTTGGTCTACACAATCTAGTACTTTACCTACCATTTCTCCTCTTGTTTATTTCACAAGGAATATGATGAAAGCAATTGGGCCTCTCCTTAGAATTGTGGAGAAATAATTTCAGCCAACCAGTCTGAATCTCCTTTTCAGTCTATCACAGAACTCAAGTAGTTAGCTAATTTGGTAATTTAAGTCTAATATTTCTAGATGCGGATTTCTGTATTGTCTGGAATTTAGTAGTTCGGTTTGTTCCTCATTTTAATGGATTATTGAGGGCTTGTGTAAAATATGCTAATTCTAGCTGTCATAAAACAATTGTCATGTATATCCTAAGATCTTTGAAGTCAAATACTTCTCTTATCCATATTATTTACATTGAATTATTTATCAGTGATTCAGCACCTGGTAGGTTTTTTGTATTTGGATTTTGGTTTTTTAAGAGAAGGGGTTTTTGTTGCCCATGTTGGAGTGTAGTGGCTATTCATAGGTGCAGTCATAGTGTGCTATATAGCCTCAAACGTCTAGGCTTAGGGGATCCTCTGGCCCCAGCCTCTTAAGTATCTGGGACTACAGGTGCATGCTACTGAGCCTGGCTGGCAGCACAATATTTTTATGTCTTATACTACACCTAAATGTACGAATAGTTTATGTAACAATTCTTAAAGAGAACTCTTCTAAGCCAAATATTTCCTATGCATTTGTTCTGTTATGTTTGCTTTGGTAGAAATTAAATTGCCCTGGTGCTATGGATCATGCCTATAATCCTACCACCCTGGGAGGCCAAGGCAGGAGGATTGGTTGAGGCCAGGAGTTTGAGACGAACCTGAGCAAGAATGAGACCCCATCTCTACAAAAAAACACAGAAATTAGCTGGGCGTGGTGGCACACCTGTAGTCCCAGCTACTAGGGAAGCTGAGGCAGAAGAATGGCAAGTCACTTCTATTTTAAGGAATGGAAGAGCAAATGAGAAAGCTCTCAAAGGAGATTTGATACA